GCCTTTGATAATGTCCACCGCAGTTGTGGACGAAACGTCAGGAAGAAATTCCCATGGACCACGGCTTCAAAGCCCGAAAAACATTTCTATATGTGGAGTGATCTCCCGTGCTTTCCGACTAAGACTAGTCGGAAAACACGGGGGATCACTTCGCCCACTGCCTCATCGCCTTTGATAATGTCCAGCGCAGTTGTGGCCGAAACGTCAGGAAGAAATTCCCATAGAGCACGGCTTCAAAGCCCGGAAAACCTTCCTAAATGTGATTTAACCGGCCGTGAAAGCCTTCATAGTCTGATGCGACCACTTGTTTTTATAGTTTGGACCAACGTTTTATCAGTTGTATCACAACCCTACCTATTGGGGCCGCTTCGCCCGGCAGATTTTAATGGCGCCAGTTACTGTCCACAACTACGACAAGACAGCGTTGGGATCTCCGCGCGTCAGCGTTCATCTCCCTCCACGAATCAGCTTTCGGTGTTGTGCTAGTTTTAAGTTTATCAGATATTTCATCCTTGGCGCTTTGATAGCCTGGTTGATTTTTGGCTACCGATTCGATGCTTATTTATTTACTATAACATCCAGTTATTTATTGTATAAGATGCTCAAAGCCATTCCTAAAAATAGCCCCAATTCAACACGGCACGGTTACCCCACACAGGGCTTCGGAAACATTAGCTTTAGTGATTCCTTTTAGCCATAATTCATGCGGCATCTGGCGTTTCACACAATACATACGTTAAAGGAAAATCCAAAAAATGTTTATATTACATCAAACTGCCATTATATACAGAACGGGTACTATAACATAATATTCAGCTCTAAAGCTATGCATCAAAATAGTCAAATAATAAGAAATGGAACACGCTACATCAGAGAATATCGACTGTTTAGTTGATATTGCCTGTGGTATTGAATTTTTAGCTAAAAACAAAACGTTTGCCGTACATAGTCGTACATTCTGTAAGGAAACCCTGAACTATTTACATCCAGAAAAAATGGGACCATTCCAAAATAGTGAGCGCATAACGTGCACTGCTTCCTTCCAGATTTATTTACAAGTTAACTTAAACTATAAACTTATAAAGCCCTGGTATACAAATATAACTCCCTAAGAGAAAGACTGATTATGTCTAGTTGGATTGGCAAAGCTCAATCGATGGAACTTCGTAGGCGTTTTGGAAGGAAAATTTAGTCCACTCAATAAAATAGAGATTAATTGTTTAGTAGTGAGATAGGCTGCGAATCTTTCTGATAGGAAGTTTTAGCATACAAAAAAAAGAAACCAACTCTAATTAACCAAATCGGTCTAGGCTAACAGTACAACGAGTCGCAAATTTCTTCTACCTACATTTGGGACTCGTTGTGGCATTAAACACATGCATAATTATCAGTCGTTAATCTAAGATCTAGTATATATTCAAATAAAAAACAAAAACTGGTCGAGAAGCGAAGTTAAAAACGCGCACTGGAATTGTATCTGGCTGAAACTGAAGCCAGTTAATATCCATCCAGTGGTAAATTGCATTGACTGCGAAATATTACAGTTCAGAAGTTAATAAATAGCGACAAAATGAAGTGAATACTAAAAGACAAACACAAGACTGTAGGATATCACCTGAGTACATTCGAACAGTAGCGTTCACCGGCAGGCAAAACCTGAGGAAACTACAAACGAAAATAATTTAAAGGACGGCAACCGGTGGTCCTTCAACTTCCGCTTCTGCTACAGCTTCATTTTCGATCCAATCGGCGAATCCTTCATCGACTAGTTTTCTATTAAGGAATACTACTCCCTGCAATGCCACAATCCAGTTAAGTCTAGTTACTCTTGATTTCAGAAAAACAACTTACCCTATCGGGAAGTACGATAAAACATAAGACTAAAGGAATACCATCGGGCGTATAGTCTGCTATTTGAGTGTAAATTATACGACCTCGAGTAGAAGCAGCAACCAGGGAATAGGCTTCTTCTGGCCAGCAGCCGTTCTCTACAAACCAATCGCAATATAAAACTTCAGCTGCTGGGTGTTCACAGATGTACCTACCACTTTTCGATTTAATATTAGAGAGAAAACATTCAGCCGCCTGGAAGGGAAGCAACATAAAATCATGCCTGATCTGCCTCAAACTGTCATTCTCCACGTAGGCGTAACCACCAAAGTCCAAGAATTTAACATAGGATGTCTTGGTTTCATCATCTGTGGACAGCACAATGGCTCTATGCCACGAATCAACTGAAAATGCGGCGCACACGGTGTTTTCTGAAAAATACAATAGGCGTCTCAGAACGACCGTGTCAGGATCAGAGCGTCTTCAAATTTACCTGGGATGGGATATGGTAGGAGTGGTGAATGAGTGGAACTGTAGCAGCTATCCATGCTGCGCGTGAGCATACTCAAGGCTGGATACGAAGGGTGAGTTGGCTGTTGCATGAACAAGTGATCGGGGGCGACCATGCAGCTCAGAACCGTATCATTGTTCACACCTTCTACGAGTTTAAGCTAAAACAAAAATCAGCCAGGTCACCAAAGGACATTATTCCCCATTGTTTCAATGGACGCACATATAGATGGTCGGGGATGAGGGAAACTGTCGCAACACTCGGAGCCAGCTCGATCTGTTCCAAAGTGATTTCTGAGTACTTCCTGAGCGGGAACCGCTCACGAATCATTTTCAGCGCCTTTTCGATTTCCAGCGGCGTCCCTTCGACGATGCACACCTGGCACAAGTTCTACCATTTATGTAGCAATAAGTTATTAAGTTATTCAGTTCGGAAATACCTTCGATATTACAACTTCGGAATGTTTCTGGACGTACACGTAGGCGTGGCAGTGCTCTTTAATGGTCTTCACAAAGCTGCCATTCCGGCCAATCAATTTACCCACGAATTGCTGAGGTATCAAAAACTCGTAGCTGGTTTTCAAGTTCTGGCTGTTGCTGGCCAATTGAGGAGTGCGAGCAGATGGTGGCGTGGCAACGTCACTTCCTCCTTTACCACTATCGTTGGATCTCTGGAAGAAAATTGTGATTCTGTTTTATCAGGTTTTTTACAAACTTCTTTTTGGGTATTTCGCCTTTATTCGCTATTTTAGGTCAATACGGAGGTTACACTGCTTAATGCGTCGTAATCCATCATCGCACACAGTTCTTCCAACCCGAAACGAATACGTCATCTTAGTATAAAAATCTTCGGGTTACAAAATATCGAACAAATGACCGAATATAGGGCAAAACACGGGTTGAAATATTCCTGCATGCTCAACAAGTATTATTTTAAGTTGTTTCCTACGTGCATTTAATATTTTTTACTCGATTGTTTAGCACCCAAGTGCACATTTCATATTTGTAATAAATGGCAATTAAACGCACCACTCCCGATTTTTTACGTCTTCGCTTCTGATGGGAAAGTGGCGTAGTAAAATATATGAGGTGGCCACTGAGGCTCCAAATTCGGGAAAAGTAAAACGTGAAGAGGTAAAAAAATGAAGAGCTTTAAACAATACGTACTAAGATAAATCATACTGAAATGAACAAAGATTGTTATAGATAAGTTCCATATTGTTAAGGCGGATTCATTTTTTTACAAACTCCTTTTTGGGTATTTCGCCTCAAAAATTTTTGTCTTCAAAAGACAGAATTTCCTCACATCTTTTATTACAGATTGATAAATAGTGCTCCTATTTCGCAATAAGAACGAATCATTTATCAAAAAGTAATCAAGAACTATCACCTAGAGGGCGACACACTTAGGGTCAAGCTATAAGAGAAAATTCCAATTAGTAAAGAAATTAATTTGAAAAATTACCTTCTTCTGCTATCCTTATCAAAAGAACCTAAATGAACCTAAAAAAGAGTATGTTAGTAAATTGTGTAACAATAGTAGGATGACACAGTATATGAAAATTCGCTCTGATAATTCGTCTGTGCAAATATTATCAGAGCGAATTTTCATATACTGTATTATCCTACTATTGTTACACAATTTATTAACATACACTTTTTAGGTTCTTTTGATAACGATAGCAGAAAATAGCTATCGAAACGTGAAGGTAATTTTTCAAATGAATTTCTCTACTAATTGGAATTTTCTCTCACAGCTTGAGCCTAAGTGTGTCGCAGGATACCCTCTAGGCGATAGTTCTTGATAAATAATTCGTTCTTATTGTGAAATAGGCGCACTATCTATCAATCTGTAATAAAAAACGTAAGGAAATTCTGTCTTTTTTAAATACCCAAAATACTCAAAATACCCAAAAAAAAGTTTGTAAAAAAATGAATCCGCCTCAACCATATAGAACTTAGCCACAACTCAGGTGTTTTAGATTCTTTGTTTTTTCTTTACATATGGCCCAACACATTGAATTTCGATACAGAATGATAGGAAAAGGATTAGGTTGCCTAACTTACTCGACGTTGTTGAGGCCATAAAGCAAACCAACTTAGTGAAGCACTGTGAGACGGCATATTGTTAATCGGCCCAGAAAAATTAAATTTGGTTCTTTCTACATGATACCTTCCAGAAACTCCACGCCAAATAAGACAGGTAGTTTGGAAAAAACTCGGAATCACAAAGAATATTCCGGAAAGTCCAAACGCCTTACCATATGTGAGCTGCAAATTATCCACTTGGAACAGCGTGTTGGAAACCACAGCGCGATTTAATGAACTAAGCCACCGCACAATAACGGTATTTGCTATTATTATCTAAGACCTTATCGATTTGGAAATGATAACATGAAGATCGTTTCACAAATGATCACTTATAAATGTTATTGATTCGGATTTATATGTAGATGCTAGCGAAAACGAAGCAACGTGAACACTCACCACGCTATGATTGTCCGATATACTGCTCATACTGGGACTAGCCAACATCGCTTCACAAGGACTATGGTTGGCTGAATCCCTTCCCGAATTCTTCCTATGAATTTCCCGATGATCAGTGCCATTCTGTTCCGATCCCATAGAATTTTCCTGATTTTCTGGCGACACCTGCAATGAAACGTCTCAGTTGTATTCTCAATGGACTCTACGTTAGAACGAGACTATTGGGCAACAATGCTTACCGCTAAAAGACGCAGCTCATCTTCCATTGGACCCAAGTGTTCCAGGGACATCTTCTTGGAGGAGGAGGATGAGGTGGGAGAAGTGATATCGGTTGATGGAGCGTTTTCCTGAGTGGCAACAGTGCAATGCTGAAACGGCTCTTTCTTAGTGGGCACAATCAAAGGTGAACTGGGCTCGGATGGTGAGGCGTCAGGCTCATCCAGCTTCTTGGAGGGGGATGGCGACTTGGACATTGAGCAACGAATTTTCTCCGGGGAGTCGTAGAATGTTTTCATAGACTTAATCTGGATAGAGCAGATAAAGCCTCATTAATATTACTAATCAAAACGAATTCCTGGGCTTAAAGCAGCAACAACGCTACACGTAAAAACTGATGATGGTGGAAAAATACACCGAAACGTATTTGAATTGGTAAATAAAGACAATAAATGACTGAAACCCAGGAATTAATTTTGATTTGGAATTGACACAGTCAGGAAAGTATACTRTASAATTATTATGAMTATATGCGATATTGGTATGTCTCCAACCCAATAAACAACCAGTGTATCAGACTTGTTTGGATAAATAAAAAAACAGCTATTTTAAGTGCCAAATTCCGGAGACTTTCGCCTCAGTATGCCGGTGAAAACGTACGAAGCCAAACAGAGAAAAACATATTTTACTTTTTCAATTTCCAGATCCAAATCTTCGTCAGAAATGACGAGAGGGCTGGATTTCGAWGCTTTCAGTTCCTTGGGGTAGATTATGTCGATGGGGGCGGTTTCCAGCCCGCTCAGTGACCGGTTGAACTGCTTTGAAACACTTGGTGAGGACGCAGAGGAGACTTCAACCTAAATAATAATGTTGATACATACAGAAGCAACGACTACCATCTAGAGATATGTAATAAAGAGGGCGCATAATCCACTCACTATATCCACTGGTTCTGTCTTCGGGGGGGCGATACTGAAAGCGTTTGGCACGGGCCCTTCTTCTATGGGTTTGGAGCCACCTGTGTCACGTCGGGCTCCAATTTTCCTCTTTTTGTACCACAAATAGCTGAGAAAAACGACAACAGATGGTAGACCCCAGGTTAGCAACTGGCGAATTGGAGAAGCTGCCATTGCTTGATCGGTCCACGATTACTGGGCCCAAAATTAGCAATATGATCCTGCCAAAAAAAAAGCAAACTCCAATCTTTGTTTTCGGCAACTATAATATTTGTTGAAACTACAGTAAAGTCCGCTTATAGTGAACTTTCGGCTAAAACGAACTTTTCATTAATTGAAACGTCATCCATCAAGACCAACGTATTTTTTTACTGGTTATAACGAACTTCCACGCTCAGCAACACGAATCGTGCGGAGTTGGTTATATTAGTGAGAGTGAGAAACAGGCAGTGACTTGTTGTTTTTTGCCGCGTTATGTATGTAAATCGTTTTAGAATGGAAAAACAAAAACGCAAAGCTTTTTCACTAAATGAAAAGTGCGAGATTATTAACAAAATAAGAAGTGGAGTAAAGCAGAGGGACATTTGTAAGGAATTAGCACTTGGAAAGTCTACTGTTGCAACAGTATGGAAAAACAGAGAAAACATTCTATCAGCGTATGACAAAACAAATGTTAGATAAAGGAAGCTAAAATTATCTGCACATGAAAAGGTTGACGAGGGACTT